GAATGAATTTTTATTAAGTTTAATTTATTATTAATTATTAATAGAAATTAGAATAAACTAAAACATATTAATTAGTACTGCAGTCTTATGTCTGTTTGGGATTTTTCATTAGAGGAAATACTGGATCCCAAACAGGATTTTTTTATTTTGGAAAAAAAATTTGAGTTTGTGATAAGTTACCAAATAGAATAGTTGTAGATATGTATGATATGTAAATGACTTACTATTAACAATGTAATAGTAAAAAAAATAATAGTTCAAGAGAATTAAGAACCGAACAAACATATAACTAAATTATTTTTAACCGTCGCTAAAAAAATAATTTAATTTTATTAATATATAAATATTAATTTTTTTTTCTTGATTCTTAAAAACCATGTTAGCAGTACTAAAAACTTACTTGTATGTACCAAACGGTTCCTAAAGTCTAACCTCTTGGATCAGCAAAAATATCCAACCTATAAACATAAATAAATGTCTCTGGAGTCACATGCCATCGTAAGTTTTGAAAGTAAAACAAGAGTGAGAAACACTTTTAAACTTCAAACTGCCATATCTCGAAAGTGAGTGGATATGGATTGGAATGCGTCATGCGCGAGGCGAAACATGCTGCCGCATAGTAGGCGTCTACTGACAATAGCTTCCAGTATAGGGCTGGAGCTGGCACGCAAACCTTTCAGAGTAACGACGCTGACTTTTTATTGATAATGGCATAAAATTCATCCGTATATAACATTGACTTACAATTATATGGACGTCGGGTCCGCGCTAAAAAGTGTCCGAACTTATAGGGCGTTAAAATCGTATACAGAGCGTCATTCACGCTTTAGTCTTCGTTTGTTCGACTGACAGCGAAGCAAGCAAAATTAGACAGTACTGCGATGACATTACAATTTAAATTCAACGTTTTAGCTTTTTCATATTCCTTTAAATGTCACTACGTTTAAATAGGTTGACTTGGGACATTTTTTTCGTGGTTTTTGTATTACCCCCGTCGTCCATTTATTTGTAAATCAATGGTATATAACAATAAGTAATATATCGTATATCTGTCCCCTCGAGACCATGGACGTTGCACATCCGAAACCTCGTGGTAAATAAAATACATTTATACGATATTAAGTATCCATTTTTTTTTTAAATTCTTATAGCATTTTAATAAAAAATTCACTTCCTGGCTATAGCCACCTGATCCCAAGAACATGCCCAAACTGTCAATCAGACGAACAATTAGATAATAACCGTGACACTTCCATAAATCCTGTTTACTTTCTCACAATAGCTCACGTCAAAACTTTATTCCAACTTAAAAGTGAAGTGCAAACAGCACAACGAACAAGTCAACGTGAATGCTTTGTATTATTGAACTTAATGTTCCCGCGTATGTAACCAATTATTAAATATTATTTTTTTATACATGAAAATAGCATCCAAATATAAATAAAATTATGTACTTAGTATCATATAAAGCAATATGGTAGAAAAAAAAATTAATGTGGTTTACACCACTTTTGCGCTAATAGTCTCAATGGCTGGCTGTCGAAAATTGTTTTTACTAAGTAATACTTAGCAAAAACTTTTTTATTAGTGGAAATCATTTGTATTCACATATGGATTTCTTAGGTTTTCGCGTTTACTACATACTGGAAATGAAACTGTTATACCAGTTCAAATCGGTCACGGCGGCATGGGACTTGTAAAAGTTAATATTAAGAAGAACACACATACTCACAGCCTCGCACTAAGGAAACCCTGTATCGCGGGTGACATGGACACACACATAGACAACCATAAATTACACCCAAACTCACGAGAGAAACAAATGTAGGTCATACATACAAATATTTCTCCCGGCCCGTAATCGAACCCGGAACCTCTGCGTGGCAATCCCGCATGGTAACCATTCGACCACAAAGGCAGTTTTTTTGAAGAAAAAAAAACAAATAAAACGGTTGGTTTGAAAGAACAAATATTCGTGATTTAGATCCGAAAAAATAGTATCATTCCCAATTTCAATTTACAGTCTTTTTTAAATATTGCAATCATAATATTGCATTAAAATGTCAGCCATTAAGGGCTATGGTAGAATACCCATTTGCATGCCAATTGTATTATTAATTTGTGACGTCTTTTTTTATCTGTAATAACTTCCTTCTTTGAACTTCAGAGTTGTAAAAAAGAATATTTTAATAAATAAATACAATCAACAGCTAGATACTAAGTAAGCACACACCTTATTTTATTACCGACTGCATACTAATTGACTTGCAAATGACTTAACGCACTATTAGTCTATGTCTGCACGTGAACTAATATATTATGCCGAATGTACACAGCTGTCTAAAGGAAGCAACTTAGAAAATCAAACCGCAAGTGGAAAAGAATCTGTACATTTTATTTTTAAGCCTGAAGAGTGTTATTTGATAAACGTATTAAATTCGACAGGTATGTTTATGTCGTTTACTGCTTGTCGTGACCAATTTATAAAACACACATGAATAAATGAAATCCAAGGATTTGCGTAAAGACACTTATCTATACTTAGCAGCAAAAACATCTTGGCATTTTTATATTTTGACCAACTAATCAATACAGTTGGATACATTTAAAACTAAGAATCTGCTTAAAGCATAGCTAACAGCAAAAATAATTTGGTATTGTACTTACTAAGTCACTCTTCCACAGCGGGTGGTAAGGTCCACATTGAAATATCTTTTATCTCAGAATTGTGTGTAAAAAATTGACACCTGTCATAAAAGAACTGAACAGCCATTTACGAGATCATCCAGCAATGAGATGTTTGTGTAAACAAATTTGTGGATTTTGAAAAGCTAAAAGGGCTCAACTTTTACTAACAAAAGGAAGTTTTGAAATTTCAATAGGATCGTTTTTGTACGCACTAAATATTTACGTGATTAAGCAGTTTGTTGTAGCAGAAAGCCATCTAAACCAATTTTTTTTATGATACCAAATGACGGAGCGAACCGACATCTATTCGAAGCTATTGCCAAATAAGTAATAGGTACTCGACGAAAGTAGAAGATGCATAATGCGATTTGGTCCAGTATTACTAATTTCACAGTAAGAAGTTCCGAATCCGAGAAATGACGGTCCGTAATGTCGCAGGGATCCTTTTATCTCTATGTGTAGGTACAAGCGATATACATATATTCTCGGATTCGGAACGAACTTGGACTTTGACTTTGATCCGTACCTCAGCTGGTAACAGCGGTAGCCACGTTGAAGCAACATGCACTTATATGTATATATATTTGTATCAATAAAAATAAGTACTTTTAAAAAAAAAATATTTATCGCACTGGAAAAAGCACAAAATATATTAAACAAAAGGAAAACAAACAAAAGGTACTGCTTATTTCTATAAGAAATTTCTTCCTGCAAACCTAAATACAGGACAAAATAACTACTATAACGGGCTTAAGTGCACAAATCCAAAATTATGTAAAACAATATTTAATAATAGGGGTTTAAATATGAAATTGCCGATTTATTTTACTGGCCACTTTAAATTAAAATTAAACCTGTATGGTGTCCGATTTCAGAGTGAAACGTTTTTCACACGAAAAGTAAAACATGCTTAACTTAAAAAACATGATATTTGATTGTTCGACTTTCAATTGTTTTTACATTCAGCTTTTAACGTGGAGACAGATACAGCGAAAATCTGAGTACCTAATTTTCGAATATGAATTTCCACATGGAGTTAACGTAGCAGAAACTGTCAATGCTGTATTTGGAGAGGATACGGCATACGCAAATACGGGAAACGCCGGCAATACGGCAAATTACGACTTGAAGAAATAACCACGAGGAAGACCAGTCACAAATGTAAATAACGTTGAATTGAAGGTAATGATGGAAGCCGATCCGTATCAAACTACCACGAAACGTCATGGTTTAATGTTAGCATACCCACAATATGACATATGGCGTTTGAATAATGAAGACGGAACTCGCAGCAAAACAGCTTCACCGTTATTGCTCTATGATAACGCAACACCTCACACTGCTTGAGAAACAGTTTTACTACTACAAGACCTGCAGATATAAATTATCCATCATCCTACATATTCGTCGGACCTCGCCCCGACCGACTACCATTTTTTCCCGCAATTTGATTTTTTTTTTGTATGGACATAAAATTCCCAGGAAGCAGTACAAAAATCCCTTCACACAGCTGTGGAGTCCAGGTCTCCAGAGTTCTATCGCAAAGGTTTAAATGACCTTCCGATTACATGGCAGAAATGTATAGACAACAAGGGAAAAAAACTTTGATTAAACAAATATATTTAATCTTAAAAAAAAATTGTTTTAATTTTTCAGTGCGAAACGGCAATTTCATACTTTAACCCCTAATATTAAAAATACACTTCTAAATAAATAATGACACAAATAAACAATGAAATGATAAATAATGACACTTCTCCTTAACACTCGATTTAAAAGTAAATAATGTACTTTCGTGAACAGAAATAGGAAATGCGTTCCAAAGTCTGACCGCATGAACAGTGAAGGGGTGAGAATAAAAATCGGAATTGAAGGAAGGAAAACTGGGACCTAACGAGAGAGCGACAGTGTTTGTCCTGACACCTGAGAAAGCTGAAACGCTCTTTCAGATACTTGGGAGATGAAGGGTTATGAAGAATATTGTAGAGAACAGAGACAATACGCAAATTCCTGCGAAGACGAATGGGAAGCCACTTGAGTTGATTGTGATAGTATGAGATTCGGTCAAATTTACGAAGGCCAAAGATAAACCTGATACATAGATTTTGCACCCCTTCAAGCTTATTTAGCAACTTTACTTTAGCATCCAAATAGCAGAACTTAGTGTTTGATACCTTTTATTTTTTTAACAAGGCCTCAGAATATCCGGTTATCTTCGAGAAAAAGAATATAAAATTGTTAAATAGATTGTACTTTTTCTTGAGTAGGTAACGGAATAACTTTAAGTAATATATTAATTTTCTTTGTTACAGTTCCAAAACTAATGATACCTCCAGCGGACTTCGTTGCCCAAAGTGTGCTGGGCAGTCCCCAGGACGGCATGCGGACCCCCACGGCTAATCAGATGATGACCAACCCACTCCTCAACCTGAACAACACCGGTCGCACTAATTTCACTAACAAACAACTTACGGAGCTAGAAAAGGAATTCCACTTTAACAAATATCTGACACGAGCACGGAGAATAGAAATCGCGTCAGCGTTACAGCTGAACGAAACTCAAGTAAAAATCTGGTTCCAAAACAGAAGGATGAAACAAAAAAAGAGAATCAAAGAGGGATTAATTGTCGCCCCTGAGGTACCCACTACGTCTGCCAGCAATACTATTGGTTCTAGTGAAAATAGCCGAGAATCCAGCTAAATTGCAAACCTCTTTTTATTATAAATTCGTGTTTTTGAGACTTTTGAAATTAATGTTACATCATTGTGTACAGTCACGGATTACAGTGGTTGACCAGAGATTTGTCATGTTCCTAAAATAAAAATCGGACGCATCATAATCAATCAATTATGGAGTACTTATAGTTAATATATCACATAAAAATGAAAATCATATCATCTATTTCCATTTTTGAGCATAAAATTATTTAATGAGAATGTTATGTACAAAATGCCATGTTATTAAAATTATACGCTAAGCAATTCACCTGGACGAAGCAGAGTTGGCGAAAAACCCGCCTTGTGGTGTGCTACTTAAAGTCGAATTTTCAAAATCCATGTCCTTAAGAACCCTTGTTCAATACTAGGAAACGTACTGGCATTCAAAAGTAAAAACACTCATTCAAAGCAAGTTAATTGGTTTGTAGAAAAACAACACATAACTCGCCTTAAAATTAGAGCAAGTTGACTTTGTGTTGGTGAATTGTTTCCTTACCTAAATTGATAGTTAGAAGTATTTATTTATTACTTACCGATAAGTTGTAAATGTGTAAAAAAAATGACATTCGCAGTGGTTTGTATTTAAACTGGCTTGAAATTCTAACCCAATAATTTAAATAGTTGTAGAAAAATCCAACGTGTCAAGAAAGTATGTAATTTAGGAATAGATTTAAGACATTTCGTTTTTCTGTAACTACCTATTCAAGCCATATCATTTTACAGCATATGCTTTATTGTTTGTTATACTCATCAACTTTTGTATGTAAGTGGAACTAATAGCGACAGTACTTTAAAAAAAACTTTAGAAAGATACCAAATATTTGTCCCTCGACTGTACTTTCGGAACATTTAATTTCCGAATTTTTCAAGAAAATACAAACGTAATTAAAACATCGTTATGATATAATATTGTAGCTGTATTTTGTACGTTTACGAAATATTTACCCCATTTGACAGTTTACAAAAAGATAATCTAGCGACAGCAGTCTTTACACGTGCAAAAAAAGCATTGCAAGCAGGAACAACGTAGTGGTTCAGTTGATTTTTATTTCAAAAATTGATTAAGTCTAGAGTGGCTCCAAGTTTGCGTAACAGACCCCAACTAAAACGGCCCTGGACATATTATGATATATTTATTTTTTTAACCTAATTTAAGACCAAAGCTCATTCCTTAGAATCCAGTCTTGTATCAAAATGTACAGATTAAGTTTAAACTAAATTAAACAAGTGTGTGTATATAAAACGTGTGTTAAGTAAGTATATGTGTGTACATTCTGACACTACGCTAGTGTTAGTTCATCATTAAAATAATTATTATCTATATTGTTGCAATTTTATTTATCCCCAAATTCGTATAAGAACAATATTTGTAAGTATATCAAGAGTTTACAGTGCTTGGCAAATAAGATGATATATGTCAACAAACAAAATTATTATGATTTTTAGGGTTTTCACTTCCGACTGTTTTACCGTTTTACGGTTACCACAATTTCAATATTTGATAACCTAACCGCCTCCGTGGATGAACCATGCTGGTCTGTCACGCAGAGGTCCCGGGTTCGATTCCCGGGCTGTGGTCGTCTATATGTGTGTTGACGATACAGGGTTTCTAGTGCTTTTTTCCCCAAATTCAATTAAGCTAATAATAATATCATGTAACTCAAGAGTACTACCTAATCGCGATACAAGAAAGCGTTGTCAGGTATTTAGTACCTATTGGTGCACCAGATGTCGCGACTTATTAATTTTGTAACTAATTTGTTTTACATTGACAGGTTGCAATTGATCAAAGCTACAATAATTTCTAGTGATAACAAATAAATGAATCAAATTTTTATGGATAATGCTGGCTATTCCTTTATGTTGTTTAGAATTAGCACCACCTACCCATATTAGCAAGCGTTAAATTATCAGTTAGTTTGTAACACACACTGCCCTATAGGAGGGACTAATAACTAAATAAATAAATGAATATTTGTCAAAGTTCAGAAAATAATTGTAGCTGATGATCAATCAACATCATCTTCATTATCATATTATTATCAACCGGAAGACGTCCACTGTTAAACATAGACCTCCCCCAAAGATTGCAAGACCGGCCGGGACGCGACGTGCATCCGTCGGTTATCCGCCGCCCTTATCAGGCCTTCCGTACATCTAGTAGCGGGCCGTCCTACTGAACGCCTTCCACATTCCATTCCTTCAACATTCCATTGGCATTCTGGCCGTCAGTTCTGTGTGCCCTGCCCACTTGCCGCTTCAACTTGCTAATTCTTTGAGCTATGTCGGTGACTTTCGTTCTTCTGCGAATCTCCTCATTTCTGATTCGATCACCCCGGACCTTTCCGAAACCGACTCGGATTCTACGATTGATCTCGTTCTCGAAGTTGGCTCTGCCAAATTAGACCATTGATGACGATCAATATATGAACAATATTACAAGGAAAAGATATTTTATGCATGTAATTTAAAATTAGATCTAGCCAAGTATATAGAAGCTGTGGTTTTCAAAATTAATAATCGCAGTACAGAGTACCTACCAATGAAACCGACCTCTAGTGCATGGAATTACAACTATTTGCCAAGTTTTATTGGAATCGGTTACTGGAAAGTGCGTCAAACGCGTGTCAATGCCTGCGTGACCATGGTAGAGTTTTTAAAATTTTACTAGCCAGAAAAAAACCGCTGTTTAGTCGGTTCTAGTCGTAAAAAACTTTGAAGTTATTAAGGTGTTTTACTGTCCACGCCACCACGCACCATTTTTGAATCTTGAGAACTACAGCCCCTAGCTTAGATCTGATTGCACCCAGAAAAAGTCGTGAATTAGTCGGTTCTAGTCGCAAAATTTTAAAATTAATCGCTCCCTTGTTTAGAAGATATTGGATATTCAAAAATTTCTTGTTAATATCAACCGTTAATGGTACTAAAATACAAAATAAATTGGGCATAAGTATGGAAACTAGCTCGATATATCCAACGTAACTATCATAAAAATATGGTATAATTAATATGAGAATAGGCGAAGCATGCGCCTTGTAACGTCATTGTTTTTCTTTATTAAATAAATTATTATTATTATTTATTCATCATCTTCATCATCATCATATCCGCCGGAAGATGTACACTGCTGAACCTCCCCCAAAAATTGCCAGACTATCTATTATTTATTATTATAGTAAATTTTACAACCTACATTCTCGAATATTCTTTGGTCGTAATATTGCTACGTTTATAGGTACAATTACGCAAGTTCCGAACAAAAAACTGCTTAAATAGATGTCCATCTCAATTTACAATTGAGTTTTTTCAATATTCATTGCTGTTTTCGAACCAATATTGGTAAATGCCTAATTAACACCACAGTCAAAAACATATTAAATTGAAAAAAAAGAACTGAAACGTTAATATATGTTTAAAGGCAGACGCGACTGGATGAAACGAAGCGTTGCGCACCAAGATCCATAAACTCTGCCTACTTCAGTGGAAGACACGCAAGAATATGGATTAGATATATGTAATTAAATTAGTCAACAGAGTCATTTTTCGATTTATCATTTCATTTTACTTCTGTCTTTGAACGGCGACTTCTACGGCCGTGTCGGCTCTGACTAAAGTATTTATTCAGACACGTACATTCTCAGATATTCTAAACTTGACGTCAAAATGTTGAAATACACGATTTTTCAGAAAATACCACATACTTAAGTAATTGTACTCTTGCTGCCATCTATTGTAGCGACGTAAAAACTACATTGCTATGCAATTAACCACAAACTTCCCAAAGTAGGTACTAGATGTCGCATCTAAATTCCAAAATTGTCGATGGATGGCGCACACTGCCTTTGGATAACAATAATAAATTTTAAGGAATATACAAATCGATGTTAATGAACGTATAGTAACACGGATCAGTAATTAATTGCAAAACTTTATTTGAACTTTAAAAATCTGTAGAATATAATTCAATTTATTGAATCACAGGATGACAATATGATGATATCACAGACCAGATAGGTTTGTGGACGATATAGAATTATAGATGAGAATTAATTGACGACTACTATATAATTTATTTACGGACATGACAATTTGTATTCGGGTGCACATGGAAATCCGAAGTGCACCCGAATATTAAGATACATGTAGTTTTTTGTATTTCTTAGTAGAATACATCGACACTGAATTATAAATTACTGCAATGATTTCATTTTTTCCCTTCAATAATTAATTATTATTAAATTCCCTCTTCTGATAATTGTTTCCTTTGTTTGTTCAGTAGAAACTTACTTCGGTTACAGCTGTTAATATCTATAGTTTAAGAATCTTAAATTTATAGGCGTCGACTTATCGCTACAGCTAAAAATTTGGCGTGGCTTATTCCAACCATGACCATGACCATGGCCGATTTTTTGAAATTTGATTACCGAGATAAAAAGTCGCTATTTAGTCGGTTCTAGTCGCAAAAAACTAGATTTAGTCGGTCCACCGTTCAAAGGTTGTTTTACTGTTTACTCTGGAATAAACTTATTCCATCGGCACCATTCCTGTCTCCAGGACCACAACACCTAGCTTACGTCTGATTACACTAAAAAAAGTCGTGATTTATTCGGTTCTAGTCGTAAAAAACTAGATTTAGATCTAGAACCGACTAAATAGAACATTTTTATCTGGCTAGTCAAATTTCAAAAACTCGAATATGGTCACGCTGGAATATAGCACGCAAAAAATTGACAGAATTAAATGAAAAAAATGTCAATAATAAAATTATCGTGTAACAAATATATTGATTTAATTCATATAAATATAGGCACTATAATAATACTAACTCTGCGTACATTACGTATATTTGGTATTATAAACATTTGGTTCAGTTGCAATGAGGCTAACTTTGTAATAATTTGTTTTTCTTTTTTGTTTTTTATTATTAAGAAATAACAACAGCCAACTTAAATAGCTCTTACAAAGAACAATATTTGTCTTAAA